AGTAGCTTCTTGTTACTAGTAGCGAGGCACTTGTTACTACTAGGAACAAGAAGCGAGGTACGTCTCTTCCCGCGCCGTGTGCGCCAGTGACCGTCCCGACGAACGCAAAGCCGAAGGACTCGGGGTCGTGGGGGTCCAAGGTGTGGCCCTGGAGTCAGCAAAACGACAAAGGAAACGGAACAAAATCGGAATCAATTGTGGGTTTAGGGAAGGAATAACATGGAAAAATAACTAAATTACAATTAGAAACTATGTATTTATTATATATCTGAATTGTAGTACGGTACGGTAGGCCGTAGGGTGAAACTAATTAACTAATGGATGCGAATGACTTGAAACAACTACTATAGCTCACAAATGTTAGCATATGTCACGGCTACTTGGTTCCAGGACCAACTTTCTGCTCAGGAACTTCTGTTGAACCCCTTGCGTTGACAACTTATGTTCCAAAAGTATTGATATAGGAACCATAACCTAACAGGGATGGCCTCCAACCTAATAGGGAGTTAAGTTATGTTCCTCCTTTAAAAAGGCCTTGCCTTCTTTTCTTCCATCTTGTTTAGACCCTTCCGGAAGCCATCCTTTTGCACAAGGGCGCAATTTTCGTCCCAAAGCGTCTGAGCAAAGGGATTCTCAAGAAACATGCTCGAGTCACATCTTCACATCCCAGATCATCATCTCTCACATTCTTAGCTGGGACTGGGCCCCGCGGTGAAATGCGATGGCCTCCAACCACCTGCTAGCGATGCCCTTGTTACTAGTGGCTTCTAGCTACTAGTAGTAATGCCCTTGTTACTAGTAGCGATGCCCTTGGTACTACTAGCGATGGCCACCAACCTACCGATGATCTCACATCTTCTTCCTACCTTGTCTTTTCGTTCTCGGGCCACCCTTCGTCTGATTCTGGTGCGCTCTCTTCGCCCATTCGCGGGCGCTTTCGCATATGTCTAGGAAGCTACTAGTAACAAGTGCCTTACTAGTAGTAACAAGAAGCTAGCAGAAACAAGTGCCTTACTAGTAGTAACAAGTCCACTTCTCGTGGCGAGTGCAGGGGTTCGGCCGTCTTGTGCTTCGACATGCGCATGTTTGTGGCGCAGGATCTTCACTAGCGATGGCCTCCAACCTACTACAGCTTTTGCAAGACCAAGGCACGGTCCATGATCAAAAGAACAGTCGTGAAGAATAGATCAAGCAACAAAACCTAAATATATTCATATCTCGAGATTATTGGCAAACCATAAATCCAAATGTAGTTTGTTTATTTTAAAAACCGGGTCAGAGTGCTTACGTGGCTTAGAATACAGTTTCAAAGGGCTTGTCCCACAACACACCTTCCAAAACACGCAGCAATGCAGCATACAAGCAAAGTGTATCACCTTGCTACGCCTTGCGACGAAACTCTTCACTTGCTGTATCGTATCTGAAAGAGCGCCTCCGGCCAGCTTGCTCGCCACATGTCTAGCCACTTCCTCCAAAAGACAATGTGTCTATCGTTCAAATGAAACTTTTGATTGACTGTCATGAGTCTTAGGGCATTTTGATTCCTGTCTCTTTCTTGATCTGCTTGCTCTTGAGCTTCTGTGTCCTGTCAAATCCAACCACGGTGAGAGACTGAGAGACCTTGTTGCTCTGCATCAGAGGGCTCGCCTCCAAGGGAAAGCCTCTGTTGAATTTCATTTTCCCCTCTTCTTCTCCCACCTCAACACATCGCACAAATCAATTGGGCACTCTCGTCTTTTTGAGTGCTTGCACTCTTGCACTCGATCAAAACACACCCAACCGCCTTCTTGCCCCTGTATCTTTTGTGGCGTCCGGACTTCTTTTTGAGATCACCCCACAGCATTCTGCGCTCCCTGGCAGTTAAAATTGGAGATGCAGGCCGCTTCAAAATGAGGTTTGGATGCGTTTTGAAACCATTTGGCCGCTTCAGTCGAAACGTGTCCAAACAACCTTTCGACAGTTTCATTTAGTCACTGGAAGAGTATTTCTTGTCGAGGAAGCGACGTGTCATTCCGAACTTCTTGCATCTCTTGTGACCAACGGTCGAGCCTCAAGTCACCAGCAAATGAAAAACAAACAACAAAATTGAACTCATTAGAAGCAATGGCCTCCAAGCCAATAGCAATGTACATAGCAAATTTCCTTCTCTGAACTCTGAACCAGTGATTCTGAGGACCTTCACGGTGATGGGTGTTTTTCCTTCCACTTTTTCCTAGCTTGGAAGGCCTGGTGCCAAGTCATTCCAATTGTGCAATCGGCATGAAACTACTAGTAGCGATGCACCTGTTACTAGTAGTAAGGCCAAGAGCCCCTAGTAGCTTCTTGTTACTACTAGTAAGGCACTTGTTACTAGTAGCGTGGCACTTGTTCCCAGTAGCTTCTTGTTACTAATAGCTATTTGCTACTAGTAGTAATGCCAGGAGCTACTAGTAGCGATGCACCTGTTACTAGAATCCAAACGAAGCAACGTCAATCCAAATCATTTGCTCCATATTCTCCTCTTAAGACTCGATCAACACGGATGCCTCTTCCTTCCGTTGTAGTTCCAATGCACCTGTGGCCTGCAAACACTTCCTAAACAAACTCAAGAACAATGTGCGCCAGGAATCATAGATGAACACTTCAATTCTCGTGCTTTCTCTTCTGTTTCCTACTATTAATCTTTTTGATCTTCTTCTCTTTTCTTCGCTCTGTGATGTTGACGCCTCTAGCAGCTGTATTTGCTGGCTCTCCAATTCTTCCCTGGATGGCACGTCAAAGTCCAAAGCCTAGGTCTGGTCCAAGGGCGCTAAAAAACACTGAGCAAAGTGTTCTTCAAAAACACTCAATTGAAACCCGTGTTTTCTCAAAAGTTGAGACGTGGATCAGGCGTGGGAAGCTCATTGTTTAGACCTTTTATATTTCTTCTTCCAACCTTTTTGACTAATTTTTCTTTAGACTTACACAAATACATGTGTTTAGACGTGTGATCTTTTGTTGGTTTTCGTTGGATGTTGTAGTTTTTTACAGTTTGTATTTGTTTCTTTGGATTCTTCTCCAGAGATCATTGTGTTTGATTTAATATGTTTTCAAATTTAGACTCTGTTTCTGTAATTCTTTAGACCTGTTTGACTATTTTGGTTCTTTAGACCGTGTTTCGTTTTCTTTAGACTTGTGACCTTTTGCCCGTGTTCTATTAACAATCTGCACACTTTTCATTTTGCATTGGAAGTTTCCTCTAGAATTCATTTTACACTGTTTGTCTATAACATCTTTTCTTTAGACCCTCTTTTTTACAGTTTTCTTTAGACCTTTCTGTCTTATTTTCTTTAGACTTTAGGCATTGTTATTTCTGGACACTCTTTCTTGTTGCTTTAGCATCTGTTTTATGTTATGTTTTTAAGGTTTCTTTTAGACACACATGTTGTTCTGTAGTTTTTCTTTGTCTTTATTGTAACATTTGTTTTTGTCCTTCAGTGATTCAGGCACTTTGTGCTCTTGTGTGTTTTCTTTGGGCTTGCGACATGTCTTCGTTTCTGGAGACACCAATCAACAAACCATGAACAACTCTTTCGACCGTTCTTTTTCTGAAATACGTTCTGGCATGTATTCTGACATATGTTTTGGCACGTCTGGCATCACTGTTGAAACCTGTTCTACGCAAGATGGGCTTGGGCCAGGGCCCTGCGTGACCTACTCTGCGCATATGCTGAGTATAGGAACAAGAAGCTACTAGGAACAAGTGCATCGCTACTAGTAACAAGTGCCTTACTAGTAGTAACAAGAAGCTATTAAGAGCAAGTGCCTTACTAGTAGTAACAAGAAGCTATTAGGAGCAAGTG